GATATAGAAATGATTAGTGACGATGTCCTGTACATTCCTGCCACTATTTCAGGAAGTGAAGACAAGTCTGAACCTGAAAAACGTTTTGGTTATATTCATCCCACACACGATGCAAAGGAAATCGTGCCTAGAGAAGTTTTGCCTCTCTTGAGCAGTTTAGCAATTTATGGAAATAATAATTTGAAATTTAGAAAATTGTGAATGCTTCTTTATGTTACCATTAATATTAGAGTAGAGTGTTGTACCTCGGGTCAGTTGACTTTTTTTATTACCCACTGCAGATTTCTCTTCAATTTGATTGAATTAGTAATTTAATAATATAAGCGGTAGATGGTATCTAAATACACTTATCAAAAAATTGTAGCAAGGTGTATCACTATCATCGCTATCGCTTAAATCTATAACTACTCTATTTTTACTGTTTTGGAACTGCAAGTCTTTTTCTTCTAGTTTTTTGACATGCTCTATACATTTTTTCCAATTATCTGCTGTAATATTATTACATTCGGTCTTAATTAAATCTACAACAGTCGAAAATGATTTACGAGAATTATTATTTTTCCTCACTATACTTTTTAATTGAGACCACAACAATTCTATTGGATTCAGTACACAATAGTAAGGAGGTAATCTTAATACTTTATGGCCATAATTCTCAGCTAGCCTGCCCATAACATAATTTTTTTCACATTTAACTAATTTTAATAGTTCTACAAGTTGTTATTGTGTAAGAATCCATAAAATATATTTCATGTTTTGATAAAAATTCTTGAATTTCAGCTTTGAATTAATGTTTGGTATTTTACTCTTTAATCTACAATAATACGGAGCATTATCCAAAATAATAACGCTATTTCTTTTTAAATTAGGTAGTAATTGCTGCTCTAACCACTTTTCAAACAAAGTACTGTCCATATCTTGATATGGATGGACAGAATCACTTGTCACAGTTCTACTATATATGTTTAGCTGGAATAATATTTTATGATTTCTGTAACTCTACAGCTACTTATCTCCCACATTTTTTAAAGATGGAATGCAATAAATAGTTATTAAATGTCCAAAGGTATTTTTTTCGATATACATATACTTCATCTAATTTAGATAACGACTTACGTCATTATCTACGTCAGAGATCGAAGTTGACATAGTTGCCAAAGTATAAAAAAATCCTGACTCCATTTTAAATTAAATAGATTACATAATTATTGCGAAAGTATTACCATCTCTTTACAACGACTATTTAAATTCTGTATTCTGTATATTCTATTTAAATATTGTAGATTAATATATTTACAGTCATTGTTGCTTTTCGTGTTCATTTCAAGGAGTAACTACTTTTATGTTCTAAGTATATGACTATGACAGTGACAGCGTCAAGAAAACCATGACCAACTTCAGGGCACTTAACGAATATAGGTTAAGCACAAGGTTATTAAAAATAGACAGGTTGTCTGGTAACTTTACACCAATCAGCGTCGAGATGGCAGCGATCTAATGGCGGGAATGACGTCACTGAGAATGCTACATTCAAATTCATTCACTTTACTCCTTCAAATGAACTCGAAAAGCAGCAATGATTGTAAATATATTAATCTATGTATATTGAAAAAAATACTTTTGGACTTTTAATAACTATTTATTTCATTCAATCTATAAAAAATGTGGGAGATAAGTATCTGCAGAGTTACAGAAATCATAAAATATTATTGCAGTTAAACATATGTAGTAGAATAGCAATACTATATTAAATTGGAAGTAGATTCTTTCTTGTGTAGACATGTGACTAAAACATGTTAATATACTATATTAATAATGGGTTGAATACAATTTACTTTTTTTATTATTATTATTATTGAGTTAATGCCTCGACAACTATGATCATTGGCATGGTACAGTCAGGTACCTAGTGTAGTGTGTGTGTGTGTGTGTGTGTGTAGAGTAATTGTCTTGATACTTAGCAAAGTCGACGTCATTGTCTTTGCTAAGAGACGCTAATTGTATCCGAACGTCTGCGGTCCCTCTGGTGAGTACCGATCGCACACGGATAGAAATTATTTTCATTTATTGATTTTTAATAAACGAAAATTTTCACCCAGATGGGATTCGAACTCACGACCTTTAGGTTCAAAGGTAGGCGCTCTTACCACTGAGCCACAGAGGGGGTTATTTACTTTTTTTAAATTATTTTGAATTGAGGATAATGCATGTAGTGGATTATAATAAATTCCTCCAAACAAGTAAACCATGCTGAAAAAGAGATTCAACTGAGTTTGTATTGCTTTTATCTGCTCCTCTTCAGTATTCTGTAAAATTAAATGTTCAACAATATCTTTGTTACCTTTCCTGGCCATGCGTTTTGATCTTACACTTATTTCTTGTATTGACTATTCGGATTAAGATCGCAGCGCCAATGCGGTATCAATTTGAACCGAGCTAAGAGCCATTATAATAATTGTTTACACCTCATCTTGTATATTGCGATTGCGTTAGTTTTATGTTTTTGGAGTAGTTTTGTTCTTTTATCCATGGTTTTTTAAATTCAATATTTTTTGTTTGACTATTGTTTATTCCTACTGATTAATACATAGACAATTTTGTTAATTATAAGTTTTATTTTAGTTATAGACTTGTTAGAGTTAAAGAGTTAACAAGAACTTAAAGTTCTATTTTTTAATCCTTAAGTTAAATATCTTAGAATATATGTAAGTTTTTGGGTGGTACTAAAAATTCAAGATGTGCTGTAGAAGGAGAACAAGTTTTAAACTCGGTTATCTTATTTTGACTGGAAAATTCACAGACGTAAGTTATTAACCCACCAGGTGAAACACCAATCATAAACTAATTGTTAAATGGGATTTATATTGAGAATAAAATAGTATTCGGCAACACAAACACTTGGAGTCTGTACATAAATGTCAGTACAGTCCAAAATTAGCCTAACATTTTGAAAATCAGCAAAACAAAGTGACCTGTTTTTAAGAATTTCTCCTTTGGTGGGAAAATACACCAAAGGCCGTAAGTTGTGGCTCAAGATAGGTATTAATTTATAAATATGTTTTTGTTAAGTCAGCTGTTATACCAAACAAAGAACCCAAAGTGGCATAAGTCAAATTTAACTTAAACTTTGTAAGAACTAACATTATCCGCTGTCGAACGTTTACCTATGAACTCGTTTGTCCTTAATATAATTTTCAGTCATATTTACTATACAGTTATAAATAGTGAAGTTATGTACACAAGTACAGTTTTTTAATTTAATGTCATTAACGATTTCATACAATGTAAGCACTTTTGGAGTGTTCACTTGCACAACTGCATCTTTTGAGGAAAGAGTGCTATTCTGGACTAGAAAGTAAAAATACATACTCTATCATATGTACAAAAGTACATACACTATCAATTAAATAAACAAAATTAAAATCGATTATATCTTTTAAGAAATCTCTTAATCTAAATTGCTAAGTGACTAAAACATGTGCAACTATTTGATGACCTGTTATGAAATATGTATAAACTGTGTGATAGTTCTTGGACAATATTTAAATGCTAAATGTTTCTATTAGTTATGGTTTTTTATTTGATTGTTACAGAACATGTAAAAAAATATATTACATTTTTTTCTCTTGGTTAAGATGAAAAGCAGAGGTACTGATTTCTTGAAATCAGCACCACCTGATCTTCGGCATTTTTTCTTTCTTATTGTATTATATGCATGTATAATTTTATATATTTTGTGTATTGTATGAATTTGAAGGAAAAATAAAGACCTTTATTATTATTATTATAATCTCCAATGACACCAAAACACAATATGCCCATAGTGTATTGTGAATATGCCTTCAATCAAATGGCCTTCAACGTGAAAGAAAATAAATAATGGCTCTTAACTCGGTTATTGCAATAGCCGCTAGAGGGCGTAATGCTTACGACGAATTGCCAATACCATCTTCATTTGGCAGTAGAAATAAGGAGGGAATTGCTAAAATTAAAAGTTTTAATTACAGCTAAGTATGTGAAGTTAATATTAATGATATTTGTTTGTTTTTTACTTTATTTTGTAAAACTCAATCACAAAAATAACTCAAAGTCAGTGAATTAACACATTTTTACTTTTACACTTTTACAACATTTAAATGACTATACCTACTTACCATCTTTTTTTAGCTTTTTAGGTTGTGTGTTTAATAGTTTAGCTTTTAAGGCATCCTCATAATCGTCCATGCGAAAGTGTATACTACAAAATCTTTTATTTAAACAGGACCACTTATCCTTCCTATGACACTTGCTCATCCATTGTTTTTGAAGTTTTACATTTTTTGTAAATCTAGAAAACATTAAATTCCTTCCATCCTTTTTGGAATTTTTTGAATTATTTGCGCAGATTGCTACACTACAAATATTTCCACCAGTCATCTGAATCAATAAAAAAATTGAATTAAGTTATGTTTTTCCAGCATTAATTCCAATGTTACCTTTAGAAATAAAATCCAGTAAGACACAACCACTTTAAAATGTATCTTAACACTTGTATAAGAGTTTTGGGTCCAAGTTGTATACTAATAATCACTCAATAATATCTAGACACATTATATCTCAAGATAATAACATAAACTAAAGCACTAACGATATTCAACAACAAAATATATCCTCCAAACCACTTCTCCTATGTTGTTTTCAAACAATTCGTAAAATTGACCCCCTGGGTGACGTCATACGTTATATTTCATTCTGTCAAATGTCAGAGTTACCATGCAACCTCTCTTTTACTAACCTTGGGTCGTTGTAAAGTACAGATCTAGAATTTAAACAAAACTTGTCTATAAATCAAGTTTTATAAAAAGGCTTTAAACTTTTTATAAACAAAACAATCTATAAAGCATTTGATACTAAACACTTCATCTTACTACACGTTTTTGAATTACAACGCTGAGGGAACTAAATGATTTAGTTGTACTGTATGATTTAAAAATACAGAATGGAATAAATAAAATAAAAATTGTATAAAACACTTTATTAAACAATTTTAACATTTACAAGGTACCTAACCTCACTAATTTCACATCGTAAAAGTCAAAATACATTGAAAACATAATCTAATTTCCCAAATAATTATCACACGTTTATCCATTATTATTATATCATACTTTTATTGCTAATAATTACAATTATCCTACAGTTATGACTACCTTACAAGTCCAGACTTGAATAATGACCATACTTGTATTTAATATGCCACTTAAAATATAATTTTTATTACTGTAAGAAAGAAAATTCTTCTAAAGAATGGGAACTGTTAAAAATAAAGGGCTTTATATATCAAAGGCAGTTTAAATCATTCCTCACGATCATCCAAATCAGTATTATGAACTTCTATCACTTGATCTCTACTATTTATTACAAGTTTATTAATTAATTCTACATATATGACTAAACCAGTGAATTCTAAAATATTACACAACTATTACTCAGCTTACAAGCTGCATTTTGCTTTTATCTCAACCTAATGCTTTTTATTGAATCCATATATTTTTTCTTTATTCAAGTCTGTTTTGTATAAAATTTTGATCTTGTTAAAACTATAAAATGATTATCGATATGCAGTGCTTTCGTTTTAACACTAAAATATATACATTATATACTAATAATCTCAGAGTATTGATAGAAATCTCATGCAAATTAATATTGAGGCAGCAAATATGTGATGGCCATCATACACTATTACTATAATTTTTTCTATAGAGGCCAAAGAAAATAAGACTTAACTGAAACTCATGACAATGCAAATAAAACCTAAATGCAAAAAGTGCTAATAATGGTTTGCAGATCAGGTATTTCTAAAGGGTCAATTTTCTTCATATTTACATATCGACTGGTCCAACGAAGACTGTAGTAACTCAAATTTTCCACTTTTTGAGTTACGAGCGCAAAACAATAAAACATAATGATATCTTCCCCAGGAAAGAATCTTATCTCAGTAAACGTAGTTATGCAACCAATATTACGTGTAAGAGTTTTATAGTATCTCCGGGCCCTGATTCTAATTGAGATTTCGACTGAAAACATGTTGAAATCAATATGGCGACGTCGAAATGCGACTTTGCGAGCCTAGTGGATTTCAGCTGAACTAACCAAAGGACGTCACTAAATTTCGATTTATCGAAATTAATTTCAACTTCAAGAAAGTGGTTGAAATTTAATTTCGAGTCGAAATTAATCTGACATGACCAGCGGGACGGTGTAAATGGTCTTTGAGCGGGACTGGGAGAAGCGAGGTTAGGTTCAGTTTAGGCGGTGTTGTTTTGTTTGATTGTTGCAACGAAAACTGAGGCAAAAAGTATTAATATGGCTGCGTTTTATCAGAAATTGTATGTGATTCGCCACATAATTGGTCGAAATTTTAACACCTATAAAAATAGAACTGTGGTACCTGGGGGCCCCAAGCCAGATGCTACTGATTATTTTTTAAAATATACTGTGGTGTAAAAATTAAAGAAATAAAATGTCCCAATATTAAAACTAAATTGGAAACCACAATTTTTGAATATATTCAACAGGCTGTAATGGAAGATAGAAATAATAAATAATTTGGTTGTAATAATTTATTTTAATTCTACACTCTTATTTGGAGATATAAAATAATCTTTAAACTCATCAAGAATTTTTAGAGCGGTAATGTATTGTTTTTAGTAATACCAATACTAAGCTGCAGTAAATTTAAAAATATAATATAACCACAAGTCAAAAGCCATCATAATTTCTTTTTGGTCCACAGACAATTTAGTGCCACCATCACCAACAGCCTCCATCCATTTTCTTTCCATTCAAAATATAATCATTGAGAATGGCCACTAAAAATTTAACAACTCAAACAAGAAACAAAAATCGTAAAATTTAAACAAAACAAACATTTAACAAGCGTGCAGCCAATAAACAAGACGGCCAACCCAAATTCTGAGCAGTGTCAAAATGATAAAGTAAATGTCCCCATTTTTAACTAAAATCGAAATGAATGAGAATCGCTAGCGATTGCGACTGTCATGGCGTAGTCGCTTTTAAATTTCGACATCGAAATGAAATAGAATCAGGGCCCCGATTTATGAAAAACAACCGTACAAAATCATCGTATCTTGAGTTACAATAGTGTTCGTTGTTATCTGAGGCCATAGCATAGGTATCGTAACATGAGTTACTACGGTATTCTGCGTTAGTTTAAGGTTATGTTCAAAAGTTTAGTTTTGTTATAACCCATTTAGTTTTGCCATGCGTTCCAGAAGTGAGTTAATATTGGAATTAGCTGAGAAAGCGTATAAAAACACTGAAACGGATATTTCTTATCGTTTTTTTGAAGGTAAATTTATAATAAACTTTATTTAAAATAATAACAGCAAAGTAAAAACCTACTTATTTTTTAAGGTAAACATATTGCTGAAAGTATTGTAGAAGAAAGCAAATACAAAAAGGCGAATAAGGATCCTGGTGACCACGAGACTGATATTAATCCTGAATGTTCTACAGGTTGGTTTAAATTCCGCATGAAAAAATATTACGTAGGCATTTACCTCATTTTTGTTTAATTTTAGTAAGCTTAGAAGAGAATGAAGCCAATAGGAATGAAAATGAAATAATTGAGAAGGAAAGCGATGAAGAACCATTTCATGCAGACTCTGATACTGACCCAGATTACATTCCGACAGAAGACAAAAACATCCCTGAAGTAATAATTGAACCTAATAAGAATATAACTGAAGCAACCACAAATAGAAAGAGAAGAAGCAGAGGCAATATAGAGAGAGTAAGTAGGAAAATAATTAGAGACGTTATTAAGTGGGCGGATGAAAAATCTAAAACAAGTCTAGACCTGGGACTTGAACATGAAAATCGAAAAGGTATTCAAATTAAAGGAAGACAGATGGGTGCACCATGCGCAAACACATGTAGACTAAAATGTGCTACCAAAATAGCTAAAGAAGATAGAGATCTTTTTTCAATGAATTTTGGAAGTTAAAAGATCATACGAGAAAGTGTGATTTTATTGCTCGTCATGTGAGACAGGTTGCCAAAAAACAAGTAACTATTACTGCAGAACAACGGTCTAATGTCTCGAAGAAATTACTCTCGAGAATATGACTTCTACATTCGCAATGAAAAACAACGTGTTTGCAAAACTATGTTTTTGGAAACCCTTAACGTTTCAGAAACTTGGATCACTACAGCATTAAGGAAACTGAAAGATGGTGGATCATTAGAGGAAGATAAACGTGGAAAGCACACTAACAGACCACATAAACTATCACCAGAACTTATAGACAACGTAAAAAATCACAATAATCAGTTTCCTGTAGTACCTTCCCATTATACCCGTAAGAATACGATGAAGATTTGAACGTACCTTGAAGAAGGGCTAATATCCAGAAAATGTACCGATTGTACAACGAGCATTGCGAAAAAAATAACATCACTACAGCTCCACGTCACGCCAGTATAGAGATATTTTCAATGAACAATTCAATATTGGGTTCTTTAAACCAAAAAAGGACCAGTGTACTGTTTGTTCTGTTTTTAATATGGCTAGTGATGCTGAAAAAGCAAAATTGCTCGAACAATATGAGTCTCATATGAAAAACAAAGAAGTTATCAGAAACTTAAAAGACATAGACAAACAGCTTGCACTAGATGATAAGAGCTTGTGTGTGGCTTGCTTTGACCTTCAAAAGGTTTTAGCTACCCTTTGTCTAACGTAAGTGATTTTTACTACAAAAGCAAATACTCTACATATAACTTTACAGTTTATGATGTTGGAAATAATCAGGGTTACTGCTATGTATGGCACGAGCAGGTGGCTAAAAGAGGTCCTAATGAAATTGCCAGTTGCCTCTGGAAATTTTTAGATCTCAAGGCACAACAAAGTGTTAAAACGATAATATTCTACTCAACAACTGTGGGGGACAAAATAGGAATCGTTTTGTGTTTTCGATGTTTGCTTTTGCTGCTGCTCATTTTCATATTGATATTGTTCACAGATTTCTGGAAAAAGGCCACACTCAGAACGAGGGTGACAGTATGCATGCTGTTATCGAAAATGCAAAGAAAAGGCAATCGGTTGTATATGTGCCAGAACAGTGGGTTACATTAATTAGAATGGCTAAAACTACAGGAAGAGTTTATGATGTTACGGAAATGTCCCAAGATAATTTTTTTAATTTTAAAAAACTGACATACCGAGAATTGGAAACTTGACAACGAAAAGAAATCAATAAAAGTTAGCAAAATACGAGAAATAAAACTTTCGCATGAACACCAAAATTCTATAATGTTTAAATACGAATTCGATGATGGTTTTAGAGGTTGTGACATAAAATTAAATCGAAAATGCAGAGGACGGCCTTCCACTACTATCAAATTTCCACCGAAACTGTATGATGCACCATTACCAATTGAAGAAAAAAAGCTAAAAGGATTACTGTGGCTGTGTAATATCGGCAAAATACCCACAATGTACCATGGATTTTATAAAAATTTTAATTCAAAGAGTTATGTACCTCCTAAAGTTGAGCTCGAAGTTGATTCAGTTGAGAGCGAAGAAGAGTCGGATGAGGAAAATTGAATTAAAATATAAAACTGCAAATTATATCAGTAGCTTCTTCAAAATGTAGCATTTTATATAAAGTTAAGAAACAAATAAATCTGGTATTTATTACTTTAAAAATATCTCCATCGAAAACTATAGTAACTCGTTCAAAAGTCACTTATGACCATTTCTGTCTTAAATCTGTTTTACCCTTGTAAGATCATTATTAAAACTATCACTTAACTATAAAAACATCCATTTAATAGATTAATGAATTTTGGTAACAGTGTAAATACATTTTTATAATTATCTCATTACATAAAAAATGAGTTACTACAGTCTTCGTTGGACCAGTCGATATATTATCAATATTAAAATTTAAAATGGAAAATATATGCCATATGGTTTCAAAAGTCATTAATAATGATGAAAATTGCCATTAAAACTCACCAGGATCAGTCTATACTTGAGTTTGGTTAAAGTTGGGTTAGGTTAAGTTCACCCAATAGTTTTTCACAACCATCAAATCTCAATCATTTGCTCCTTTTGGACAGATCAAAGGATTCCCAGAGCCTAAATTTACCATTATAAGAAGAAACTTTGCATAGAAACACATACATGCGTGCAAGTAGGACCACAGTATAGATAGTCCCGAAAGCTTTTGTATACACTATATAGTTTTAATTCAGATCACAATCAAAATTTCTACAGTCAAATTATTCTCCATAACTAAATTAAAAAACAAATTAAGTTTTTATAACAAAAAAACTAAATAAATAATTCAGTAGCTGACTTAAAAAATAGTTGGTAAAAGAATTATAAGGAGATAGGCTCCCTACAAATTGGACATGTTTTTTGGGTGTTGATCCAGACATTTATGCAGTGTTCGTGAAATTTATGGGTGCATGACAGAGTTCTCAATTTTGTCTTCAACACATCCAAGCAAATTGAGCACTGCTCTGGAGTATTTCGCTTTCTTCTTCTAAAAACACAAAAGAAGCTTTTCATATGTATTTAACTAATTTAAAATAGCAAAAACTATTAGCCTCAATGCAATAGGTACAAAAATTCTGTGCAAAAAAACTTGCAAGCACCTCAATAGCATTATGTTTCTCTATAAAAATATATAATAAATGTATATTTTATAAATACCTTTGACCATCTCCAGTGGTATCATCATCCCTTTTGGTATCATAACCACAAGCATAATCAAAATTATCTCTATAATTATTATTGCCATTATTACCATAAGTATTTTGTCTAGAAGCATTATTCCAAATGGTATACGCTACAGTCCCTACTGCTACTAGCAGCATCACCCCAAACGCTAGTGGCGTAAATTGCATTGGCATTATTTTACCTACAAATTAATTTATATGGTTTAAATAAAATACTATTGTCTACTTGACGTTCAAGCTATTTTTAGTATACTTAACCTTTTCTAAATTATATTTTTGGTAAAGAACGTAGTTTATACACTTCAACCGCTAAAACCTTTAAACACTATAATATGTATTGTGGATAATGATCACTATCTTTCTGAATTCTGGCTTCTGTACTTTACAGACAACCGCGATTTGCCATTACGTCCCACACAACACAACTCTAATAAAGAATCAGCTGTTGACCTGCTAATGTCAAATAATGCACCAAATAGAAGTAGGGTATATTTGAAATCAACCAATAGAACCATGTAAGGGGTTGGGAAAGAATAGTTTAGCAATTTTTTATTATTTTAGTTAATTTCCTTTGTTTTGTGTTTGTTTTACTAAAAAATAAAGTCTAACATTTCGCAACAATTATGACATAAAAAAATTATATGCAACCAGTATTATATAACCTGGATCTCTTTCGGAAAATCTAAGAATAAATGAAAAAAACTTGAAAGATTATTATTTTATTGGTATGAAGAAGAAATTATATTTTACTTTCATTTAATTTTTTAATATAAAGAAAGTAAGCTTTTTACGTAAATATAATTATTTTTATTCTAAAATGTTTTATATGCAACCAGTATTACTGAAATGTATTTTAATTTATCTATAATGTAGAATCAGCCTAAAATATTATTTACTGGTGTGAAGTATATAACGAGTTAAACTAAAAATTTCATAGGCGGTACGGATTTTAATTGAGAAATTTAAAATATGTGATGCATATAAAATAAAAGTACAATAAAAGAATATAGACGCACATATGCTTCCATATTCTTTGGTACAATCCTTCAGATCAATGGTTATAAAATAACAAAAGAATTTCATAAAGTAATAGTCCCCTTATTACTGCTAAATAGTATAGTGCAGCGTTTCGTTTCTGTGGTGCAGCTAAGGAGTATAACAGGCCCAGCAACAATTTCTTGATCCTAGGTACTACCTAGGTATTAAAAACTCATAATACACAGTACGTACAATATAGAACACAAAACTAAAGTAATACATTTAAAGAAAGGTATCGTTTTATAATAAAGTTAAGAAAAAAAATGGCTTTAATAGACTTTTATTAAAGCTGACCTATCTACGTCTATGAAATTTAAAAAAGCTGCTAACTTCATATCAATTATCAAACGTCAAAATAATAAAGTTATTTTAATATAATATAATCTTAATCTTGATGAAAATAAAGTTTTTAGTTACATATTAAGTTTTTCCATATCTAATTCAAAATGCAAAGAGAACGACGAAATAATGCCGGCAATCGTATGGCCAAACTGTTGGACGAAGAAGAAGAATGCCAGGATGAGTTTTACAAACAAAACTATGGGGGTTTTGAAGAAACTGCTTCTGATAATGAATATGAGTAATAAATTCTACCAAATTTCAAGTATAATCAATTAATATCATATTTTTTAGAGCTGAAGAAGAAGGTGAAGACTTAGTCGACTCTGACTTTAGTATTGATGAAAATGATGAACCGGTTTCCGATACTGAAGGAGATGAGAATCAAAAGAAAAAACGGAGACTTGTTACTAAAGCATATAAAGTACTACCGAAACTTTTTAACTTCATGTATATTGTACATTGATTTGTTGTAGGAGCCAGTACCAAAAAAAGAAAAACAGAAGCAACCAAAACCACCAAAAACTTCTCAAAAAGTTAAACGTTTATCAAGTTTTAGTAATGAATCACTTGGTATGTATAATCAGACAATGTAAATATCTCATATACTACACTGGTATATGTACATTATAGACTGTTATTATAATTTTAGGTAGAAAATCAGTACGGAAATCAACACTAGCCCGGACAGCAGAAACAGCACAACGAGTAAAGGTTAGAGATCTTGAACAGAGGAGGAAGGTTAAGAAGCAGTCGGTAGAAGAAATACCAACACAAGCTGAGCTTCTAGCTGAATGTAAAATTACTGAACAGGAGAATTTAAAATCTTTAGGTAAGATTTGTATTTAAAGATCTCAATTCAGATAAATTTCTTATAAATGCCACATGTTGATTTTTAGAAAGATATCAGAAGTTGGAGAATGAAAAGAAAGCAAAAAGGCCTTTAAAAAAACAAGGTTCTGGTCCAGTGATACAATACAGATCTACTAGAATGCCCATTATAGAGGAAGTTAACAAAGACAGGTACAATTTTGTGTAATTTATTATTTTGTCAAGATATTCCAGTATTCCAAATTATTTGAAACTTCATTATCAAACCTAACAAAACTTGTTTTTTGTCTATAGACCATTACAACTTTTTTTAGTACTATTAAAGAAGAGGTAACAGAAATCCAACCAAAATATTGTGAAAGAACATTTATTACAATATATAACGATCCAAATGATGTTGCTTTCAAGAAAGTATTTAATGTTAAACAAGCTCCAATTTTACCCAAGAAATTAAAGTGTGCTGTGACTGGGTAAGAAAAAACAAAAAACATTTTTTTATATAATTGTTTTTGATATCGTGTATAATATGTATCAAAAGTAGGCAACCTACAGTTTACTGTAGAATGTTTTGCCTACAGAGACACAGTTATTATTTTCTCTCATGCCAAGTATGCCACTTATAATATATCGTCGTTAGGAATGAAATATCTCCAATGTAAAAATATCCTAATTTTACAGGAGACACAAAAAACAGTTAAATAACGCTAATTTATATTGTATTAAATTAGTAATTGATTTTTTTGGCCAAACTAAGATTGATATTGATATTAAGGTGAAATTGATTCCTTAAATCAGCGCAAAACATTAAACTAATAAAAAAATATTACAAACGCGCACATTGGAGAAATTATAAATAATTGAACTGGTACATAGTAGGAATTTCAAATATTGTGTATGGCATGTCATAGCACTATACACCTTGAATTTGGTGTTATTAGGGGAAAAAGAGTCATATAAACAGTAAAGTGATTTGTATTATCTTTATTTTAAATAAACAAACTTCGACATGTAGTATCAGTGTATGATATTTTTACAAACACCACCGAAAGTATTATTTTTTGTTGATTTTAGGAAGAGTATCGTAAAAGTGATGATGATCTTTTTCAATAACTGATTTGAGGTCTTGCAAATGTTTGAACTTGTCTTCTGATATTTCAGGAGGTGTCTTGAAGAGCGAGTTTTCATAAACCGACAGGTCTTGGCTTTCTCTTCTGTGTGGTAGTAGCTTCCAGTTATCTGAGTAGTCAGTGATGTAGTATACCTCTCCATTGGGACTATATTTTAATTGTCTTATATCTACAACTTGCGGATCTTTGGCATTTTTTTCCAGGTCTTATTGAACGAAAGTTACTGTCAATAGCATACTTTTTAAAGAACGTAAAATCTATGTTTTTAATATTATACGGATGTTTTGGCAGAGCAAGACGCATTCTAGCAATGTAATCTATCGGTGAATTAATTGGAGTCTGAAAGTAATGTTCCAAAGTTAAATGAACTGAATCTGCTTCCATCATAGTATGGACTTTTTCAAGATATAACTGCTGTATTGTAAGGGATTTTGCTCTTGCTGAATCACTTAAAGCACTAGCCAGAGTTCTTTTTCGATTTTGGTAGTTGCATCCATCTGAGATGAATACAAGAGTTTGATAGTTAGCAGGAATATTATTTATATAATCTATAAAACAAGATGTAAATTCATTGCTACTGACTCCACCATTTGCTTCATGCCAAACGTACAACTGGACATCAGGGCATCTTCATCATTTGGAGAATAAATGGTGAAGTTGTGTACTTGAAGTTTAAGCTCATAATACAATTGGGAAGTTAATACTTTTGGACACGTTAAGAAACTTTGAAGATCAACTGTAAGAACCAATTTTTCAGAATTTGCGCTACTTTTTAATAATTTTTTTGCCCGTCTTCCTTCTTTCTGCTTTGGCATGTGCATCATAATCTTCAGTATTTATTGTCTTCATTTTCTGTGCAACACACGTATCACATTGATCTTTCCTTTGCTTATGTATGCCAATTTTCTCTGCTTCTAAAACAACTTTAAACAACTTGATATGAGCAACTGACTGCTTTCTATTATCGCACCATTCTTTATATATATATATATATATATATATATATATATATATATATATATATATATATATATATACATATAAGAACAATAATTATTACCTACCGAGATAAAAGATATCTAACCGTAGTAGTGAATTTGTTTACATACCTGTTTTTGGATTTTTCATTATAAATTTCATTTTCAATAGGAGCAAAAGTTTGGATAGAATTTTGCACTGGTAAATAGCTTATTTGAGAAAATTTGAGGATAGGAATTTGACAGATGAAAGTATGAAATACCTCCAATGTGCAGATATTATAATAGATAATAGCTCCAATGTGTTTTTTAAGCACATTGGATTTATTTCAGTCCAACAGTTAATAATATGTTACATTGGAGTAATGCATTTTTAGACATTAGGGAAGTTAGGAATCGGTACGCACATTGGATATTTTTCTAGACTGTAAAACTATTCATAGCGATTCAGAATCGCTTAAAATCTGAATTACCAGAAATTGCACATTGGAGGTATTTCATTCCTAACGACGATATTTTAATAAAATGAAAATATTCAATAATTTTTATAGAGCTAATAAAAATAACGCACTTTCCAGGAAACCCGCAAGTTATATCGATCCTGTTACTCGAGTTCCATATCACAACAGAATTTGTCTAAAGATAATTAGGTTGGCCTATTATGATTACATGGAACACCACGGAGATAAGAACAATCCATTAGTAGTGAATTTCTTGAAATGGTTGTCACAGAACAAGAAACGGTTAAGAAACGAAATAATTACAGAGCAAAAAGTGTCTTTCCAGTAGGTTTAAATGAATAAAGTATTATTATGATTTTTATGTTTAGTTTATTATTCCTGTATATATTTGGTATATCTGGTATAACTATTATTATCCCCATAACCATTATGTCACCCATAATAACTATTATTATGGGTGACTTCAACACGAAAATTGGTAAAGGAAGAAGCAGTGAATTCATAGGTGATTTTGGTCTAGGGCAGAGAAATGAAAGGGGAGAAAGATTAAAACTGTTTGTAGAGGAAGAAGAATTTGCAATACTAAATACATTCTTCAAACTACCACCAAGACGCTTGTATACCTGGGTCTCCCCGCAAGATCAACCAGGACACGTAATACGAAATCAAATTGATTACATAATGGTGAACAAGAGATTTCGTAATGGATGCCTATCATTAAGAGTTACCCCGGTGCTGACGTATATTCAGATCATGTTCCTGTTGTTGGTAAATTTAGGTTTAGATTCAAGAAGGTCACAAAAAAGAATAGTAACAAAAAGTGCGATATGAGAAGATTAAAAGATAACAAAACAAAAGAAACAGTCGCACAGATTCTTTCAGAAAAGCTAAGTAATATGGAGCAAACATATAATGCCGAAGAATCACTCCAAAATATATGTTAAACCTTTAACAAGATCAGAGAAGAACATCTAATAGAAAAGAAAGATACGAAAAAAGTTGGATGAATGACAATATACCTACTGCAACTTATGGAAGAAAGAAGAAAATCAAAGTACAACAAGATTCAGAGACAAATAAGGACCGAAATACGAAAGGCCAAAGAAAATTGGTTAAAATCACAGTGTGAAGAAATAGAGCTGTTAAAACAAAAACATGATACGTTTAACATGCATAAAAAGGTGAAACAAGCAGCTGGTTTTCAGAAATCCAACACAGCTAACAAACTGCTAGACCATATATCATCACAGACAAAAATCAAGAAATCCGCATATGGACAAAATACATACAAGAACTCTTTGATGATACTAGATCCGAACAACCTCCATCCTACATATGTGATGACCACTTACCAATAACATCAGATGAAGTGCAAAAAAGCCGTATTACAACTAAAAGATGGCAAAGCTCCTGGACCTGAAGTCCCAATTCATAACACTACCAAAAAAACAACGTCCGAAAAACTGTAGTGATTATAGAATGATAAGCCTTATGAGCCACACTTTGAAAATATTTCTACGCATCATCCACAGTAGAATCAGAGATAAATATGAAGAAGACCAGGATGAAAACACAATTTGGCTTCAGAAATGGACTGGGAACTCGAGACGCCCTCTTTGTACTAAATGTATTACTGCAGAAATGTCGAGATCAAAGGAAAGACGTCTTTGCTGTATTTATTGACTATGAAAAGGCCTTTGATCGAGTACAGCATCACAAATTAATTACAATATTAAAAGATAAAAGAGTTGATAGTCAAGACATACGATTCACAGAAAAGTTATACTGGCGTCAAACAGCGACAGCTTGCATAAACGGAAAATCAACAGAAATATGTAAAATACAAAGAGGTGTCAGACAGGGTTGTATACTATCCCACTGTTATTTAATTTATATTCAGATAGAATATTTAAAGAAGCGCTGCATAATTTGGAATGGGGCGTGAAAGTTAAGGGAATTCTGATAAATACAATCAGATATGCAGACGATACAGTTATTTTAAGTGATGACATGAATGGACTACAATGCCTTTTAAATGCCATTGATACAGTGGGAAGAGAGTTTGGCCTAAACATAAACTGTTCAAAAACAAAACACATGGTGTTTTGCCGTTTTTAGCACATCAAGATGCACGATTATATGTTGATGGTCATATAATTCAAAGAGTGTCCAGTTTTAATTATCTTGGTTGCCATATTACTGAACAACTAGATCCAGATCAAGAGATAAAATGTAGAATCGAGATAGCCCGCACGACATTTTTAAAAATGAGGTCATTCTTCTGTAATGATAACTTGCAACTTCAACTTCGAAAGCGCATGGTTAAATGCTACATTTGGTCAGTCCTCTTACACGGTGTCGAAGCATGGACATTAAAAATATCCACCATTAATCGTCTGGAGACTTTTGAAATGTGGCTGCACATACGTATACTAAAAATTCCATGGACGGCTATGCTGACAAATGTGGCAGTCCTTTAGAGAGTAAATGCTGCTCGCGAGCTGCTTGATAACATCAAATGTAGAAAGATGGTCTATTTTGGACACATAGTAAGAGGAGACCGATATAATATTCTTCAACTTATTATGATGGGTAAAATCGAAGGACGCAGAGGAATTGGTAGAAAGCAGGCCTCTTGGTTGAAGAATATCAGGGAGTGGACAGGAATAAGGAAAGCTGAGCAACTCTTTAGAATAGCTCGAGACAGAGACAGTTTCGCCATGTTTATCGCCAACGTCAAGGGGACTTGATAGGGCACGTTAAGAAGAAGAAACATTTTTGTTCAAAATTATCTCAGCTTCAATTTTTATCTTTAATTTTTTTTTCCATGGCTTACAGATTCTTGGTAAATTGATTTTCTCCTCTGCGATCGGGGTTTTAGGTGAAAGCCGGGTGGTATGAATGTTAAGCTTGTTGTATATTTTTTGGGGTCCCAAAATTGATATTCTCAGCAAAATTCAGCTTGTTTCTATCAATGTCAGAGCCCAAATCTCTGACGACTGGACTATTCAGTCCAGGAAAAGAATAAAGATAGAATTCCTTCAATATGTATTAATTTTAATAAAAGAGAATCAGACCACATAATTGACCCAAGTCGAGTCAATTATTTACCTTTTGCATTCCCAGAAACTATATGCAGATCACTTCTTTGTACTCGTTTACTGTTTGTGGGTGTAGTTGTGGTCTGATGCAATCACTAATAATATTCTCGAATAAAATATTCATACAACCAATATTATGAATGAATGGCTTTTGCACAATTCAAAATTTATAGTTTGAAAGAAGCATAAATTATTATAAAGGTAGAAGTGCAAGGTAAAGATAACAATATTACTGTTAGGCCAGTTAAAGTGTTAGTACCTATAAACGTTTATTTGGCAAAATGGAAAATGTATCTACAAATAGTTTCCATAATTTTCAATACACATTATGTAAATTTGCAAAATTAATAATTTATAAATTTGTCATTTTAATGAAGCTGATTAATCTAGACATCTTGGAAAACGTATAAAAAGACATTAAAAAATTCACCATTGAAGAAACAACGGAATTCGATGAAATTGAAAACTCGAGGTTGGGAAGGGTTACTTCTCCTTCTCATCGAGTTAGATCCTAATATTATGTGGGGCTCTGATAAAACATTTGGAAGGGGAAAAGTCATTGAAAATGTATTAAATTGTTCTAGCACTTGCCTATTAAATACCGGATCAAGTACTTACTGCCATATATCTTCTGGTACATTTTCAGCAATTGATTTGAGCTTTTATGACCCAAAGTCATCATCTCTATTAAACTGGCATGTTTTCGATAGTCTCTTTGATAGCAATCACTTTCCAATTCTGATTTTAAATAGCGAGAATAAATCTAGCAATTATAATGTACCCAAATGGCGAATCGCCAATGCCGATTGGATTGGCTTCTGCTCGTATCTCGAAAAAAAAAAACTTCCACTTCTGTCTCTTTCTGATGACGTAGACGAATCTCTGAACCTTCTTATCCACTGCATTATCTCTGCAGCTGAACTACATATTGGCAAAACTTCTGCAACCTATACACGGAAGAAAATACCATGGTGGAATAAGGATTGTGAATATGCAGTTCGTCAATGCAAAAAAGCATTAAACAGATATCGAAGAACTCGAAATAACGAAGATTTGTGCAATTAAAAAAACTAAAGGCCAGAGCAAAATACATGCTAAAAGAAAGCAAGAAAATTTCATGGAGAAAATATACTTCATCACTAAAAACCAACACACCTTCTGCCCAGGTATGGACGAAAATACGACAAATGCATAGCCGTGTAAGACAAGTTTTGGTATCCAAAGTATAAATTATCAAAACATCGTTATCAATGACACACAACGCATTGCCAATTTACTAGCTGATACGTTTGAACAAAAATACAAATGACAATACTAACCTAACATATCATCAGGCACATTAACTGGAAAGGCTCCCACAATAAAAATTCGATCTTATTAACACACCATTTACCTTAGAGAAACTAATTATGGCACTCGATTTGTGTAAAAAAAAACAGCCTCTGGTCCAGATGACATTCCTTTCATATTCTTAAAAAAATTATCTACTCCTTTCATCATTGTTTTATTAAAATTTTACAACGGGATTTGGAAACGATATAATTTTCCTAAGCGGTGGTGAGAATCATATATTATACCAATTTAAAAAGTTCACAACCAAACACAAAGTTTATCTAATTCATATACGCCAATATCGCTGACGTGCACCATGTGCAAATTAATGGAGAAAATTGTTAACAAAAGATTGGTCTGGTTTTTGAAAAAAAATAATTTTATTTCACCGTCACAATCCGGTTTTAGATCTCATTGTTTTATATCAGAGAATTTGGTAATTTTACAATCACATATTTCCGACTCTATGGCCTGTAAACAAGATTTATTAGCAGCCTTTTTTATGTAGAAGGAGCCTTTGACACTGTTCAAAAATCTGTAATACTCCAAAATCTTCAACAATGTGGACTTGATGGAAACATATACTACTTTGTGCAGAATTTTTTAGATGATAGAACTTTTAAAATTATTTTAAGCGGAAAGCTGTCATCTACTCTTATTCAACATAATGGAGTACCACAAGGTTCTGTTATAAGCACAACTCTATTTAGTTTGGCATTTAATGATGTAGGCAAAAGTATTCATCTTCCAGTTAAACACGCATTACACGCTGATGACCTTGTACTCTTTTGCAGAGGAAAGAATACCGAAACAACCTGTCGATTAATGCAAACAGCCATTGATAATATTGAAAGGTGGTCGACGCATATTGGGCTTTCCTTCTCATCTAATAAAACTAAAATCATGAAATTTAGCAGAAAAA